CGGCTCCCTGCAGGGAGACGATTGTGAAGTCAGTGGATCGGCTGCATGTTTCTGCTCACTTCCCCATCAATACAGCCGACCTGTGACAGTCTCATTGTCACAGGTCGGCTCTAACTATGAGGATGAGTGGAAATCACTCACCTCATAGTTCTCCTTTAAGAATAATGTTTCCAACTAGGAGAAGGTGAGCAATGACAGCCTATATAATTGTCTGGATCTTTACCATACACAAAAGACAACGCATACAAGGTCCATTGTACACGTCTAGTAGTGAATACCATGCAACGCCACATAACATTTACCATACACAAGACGACACATACAAGGTCCATTGTACACGTCTAGTAGTGAATACCATGCAACGCCACATAACATTTACCATACACAAGACGACGCATACAAGGTCCATTGTACACGTCTAGTAGTGAATACCATGCAACGCCACATAACATTTACCATACACAAGACGACACATACAAGGTCCATTGTACACGTCTAGTAGTGAATACCATGCAACGCTACACAACAATTACCATACACAAGACGACACATACAAGGTCCATTGTACACGTCTAGTAGTGAATACCATGCAACGCCACATAACATTTACCATACACAAGACGACACATACAAGGTCCATTGTACACGTCTAGTAGTGAATACCATGCAACGCTACACAACTATTACCATACACAAGACGACACATACAAGGTCCATTGTACACGTCTAGTAGTGAATACTATGCAACGCCACAACATTTACCATACACAAGACAACGCATACAAGGGCTACTGTACACGTCTAGTAGTGAATACCATGCAACGCCACATAACTTACCATACACAAGACAACGCATACAAGGGCTACTGTACACGTCTAGTAGTGAATACCATGAAACGTCCATCTGCTCTGTAACGGGAGAGCTGCTCAAAACTCTAAAAATAACCCAAGAACAATTCTGACTACATATGCAAATGATCTCATCTCCTACACCACAATTAAATGTAGTCTGTGCCTTAAAATCACAACGATTGGTCTGTGCCTGACCCATCACCGCCAACGCACAGCGCAGGAAGAAAAACTGCCGAGGAGGAGGAGGAGGAATGGTCACTCATGTCCTAGTTTGTGTTTTTTAGTTCTTACACAAGTAAAACTGTCTATACACCAACAGATGTCTTAATTTGTCCGTTAACCTAAACAGAATGGACAGAAGAATCCCCCAATGGACTATTGGATTCTGACAGCCGGAGCCTGCTGCTGTAAGAATACCCAAACAGTGACTGCAGTTGTTGTACAGACAACAAATTTCCATCCGGCAATGCTGACCGGCCATCTTAAGGCCTGGTTCATGCCGTCGCCTAGGTGTGAACCCAGCCTAATACAATGATAGATGCAGGGACCACATAAACTAATGCAGGGGGTGGTATTCAGGAGCCAGTCTGTCTAATCCAAGAGTCGGCTTCATTGACAACTAGAGAAAACCTCAGAAGTTAGGAGCCAGCAGTGATATTTAAGGTGCACTGACAACCTGGCTCCTGCGCTAAAGGGCCCATTTATAAATCTTCCGCCCAGACATACATTGGGTGAGTGCAGTTTACACAACATTCCCACCACCAGATGGAGCCAAGAAGCACGGGAATTTCCTATGCTCCTCAGATCCATCTAGTGGCGAGAGTGTCATGTGAACATGACACTCACCCAGCACATGGATGGGCAGAAGATTTATGAATAGACCCTATATGTTTTTGTGCACACGTGTGTCTGCACTTCATGCATTTCTTTGCGCATTTTTCCATGCATGATGTTTTTGTTTTAGCCAATGGAGGTGGAATTGGTAGGATAGGTTGCTAGTGGTGGGGGCTTGTTGTCACACAGTAAAACATAGGGAAATACATGCATGTGTTTTTCATGCCCTTCTATTGCAGTCTATAGGGATAAAAACGCACCAAGAGAATTGCCTGCACCATCTTCCAAGTCACGCAGATGCATATTGCATAGGTGTGAACAGACCCCATAGAAAATAATAGCATTCCTCACGTTGTTCCTTGTCATGCAATGGCCGAAGCACTTCAAAATGCACGGGTGTGGACAGGGACTTTCTCTTTCACTTCATGTTTTTGGACATTATGCAGACAATTGCTATGAAAACACCACCTGCCAGAGCTCATCATTTACACCAGCAAATTTAGGATTTGTATCCATATAGAGCAAGGGTGGACAACTCCGGCCCTTCAGCTGTTGGAGAACTACAAGTCCCATGAGGCATTGCAAGACTGACAGACACGGCTCCCAGAGGCATGTTGGGATTTGTAGCTAAAAGCACAGCTGGAGGGCTGGCCCACGATATACAGGATTTCAAATGCATCATTTAGTACAATAAGGATCCCCATACACATCACAACCTGACCGTACAATCGACTTCAGATTTACCAATACTATGTAATACGAGGACCTATCATCCAATTAGAGAAAACTTTGCATTACATACACGCTGGTAGATCTAGAGGCAATTGTACAATCAGATAGGTGTGTGGTGATCTATAGACTGTTTACACCAGACATTCTCAGCTGTCACATGTTATGCAAAACCACCTGCAGGCTTTCATGCAAATAATGGTGTGCTATGGGAGCGGTATATTGAAACACACAACACGACACAACGTCCCACCGGTCAGTCTCTGGGACAAATCTGACTTCAAGTATTATAGTTTATCAGGGGGTCGTACTGCTGCCCATCTGTACACAACATACAGGTATTGTACACACCAGGGAATCAAGCAGCACCGCCATGTCAACAAGGCAAGGGTAGGAGAAGGCGGTAAATGGAATACTGGAATTAGTAAACGACGGTCTGGCTCTCTTACGTTGCGATTGTCATGTCTGCAGGACACTGTCCCAGGCACACGTTAGGGTCTACAGGCATCATGTCAGACTATTGTCATTTGTTGAAGCAGGGTGTTTCTGGGAGCAGCATGGAGAAGAAATGACACACGGAACATGTTAACAAGGCAGAGAGGAGGGGTGAGGAGTATACACACAGAAAGTGAACACATGATCCATGCAGCCTTAGCTCTGACTGCTGCGGCTCCCTTGTCAGCCATTTTATAGAGCTTATCTCTGGGCTATTGTGTGCTGACTGATCATCACAAACAGCTTCCTCCATTTTACTTCACTGCTTTTCCTGTGCAAGTGCAATCTACCGCTGACAAGACAACAATACCACACAACGACACCAGCTAAGACATACTAGTGAGACGGCAGATACAGAATGCAGTACCTGGGGGTTATACAATGTGGTGTTCAGGTATTAAGAGGCACCCTAAAGGTGGCCGTGTATAGGGGGGCATTGGAGGCAACAGGAACACCAAGGTGGCCAGGTATGGGGGGAGCATTGGAGCCAAGAGGAACACTAATGTGGCCACATATAGCGGGGGCATTGGAGCCAAGAGGCATCCTAAGGTGGCCAGGTATAGTGGGGGGCATTGGAGCCAAGAGGCATCCTAAGGTGGCCAGGTATAGGGGGGGGCATTGGAGCCAA